TCCCAGCACTCCCACCCCTGAAGCTGTGCCTCGTCATCTCTCATGCTCACACCCAGCTGAGCAGGTACAAAAATTTGGAGAGAACAAGCGGTCCTGGGGGCTGAAATTATTAATCTGGGTTTATCACCGCTAAACAAGAAACAATAAAGTTTTCAAGTAAAGAAATTTAAGCTTTTTAGTCCCACAATTACAGTTAACATCAAAGAATACCGAACCATTTGCTGAGGATACAGAGAAGGGAGATGTGACACTCCTCGTGGCTACTCCCAAGAGATGCAAGAGTAGCCCATGAGGGATGGAAGAAAACAAGATGCCAGCACTACAAATGACATGGGTGATGGTGGTACAGGGAATGTTGTGTGTGAGGATCCCAGCCCAGATGGACCTGGAGGGTGTTGAGACCCACGGTGGTGGGTCCTTACTGGCACCACTGGGAAGGGCAAGTCTCCATCCTGCTCAGCCCTGCTCTCACCATCTCTGAAGGATCTAGTGAAAAAATACACATTTTCTTTAGGAATGAGGCTGCTATTAACTGTCTGAACCCACTGATTTATAGGAATAGTCCTACTGATTAATATGAATTTTATTCTTAGGGAAAGTTCCCACATTCCCCAAACACAAGGGAGGAATGCTCTCAAAGAGAGGATCTGCAGTGAAACCAGTCCCCCAGGCCCATGTCTTTGAAGACACTGAAGCAGCTAATTCAGACTAGATACAGCAGGAATCAGGCCTCTGAAAATCCAAACTGAAACATCTAGGCCAGGTTTTTGTTAAAAAAACACATTTTTTTTCCTAAATGTCTTGCTAATCTTCTCCCCATATCACTCTCTTCATAGGCATTCACACACGTGCTCTTTCTGAGAGAATCCCAATGCTTGCAATCTGTCATTCAGTAGAAAAAATAGCAACAGCCAAGTACAGTGATGAATAAAATTATCCCTGCACATATAAATGCACAATATGTAAATGAACACTCATTCCTGAGGAGGAGGAGGAGGAGGAGGAGGAGGAGGAGTGGGATGCAGCACAGGGCTTTGTGCAAAGCCTCTGCACATGGTGGGTTCCATAGGAGTGGAATAAAACATCATCAGCTGAGTCTTTCAGCCCAGTATCTCCTTTATTAACCTAATGCATGTATTTTTGGCACCGATTCCCAAAAGCACTTACATACATTCATTCCTAAGCACCCTTCTGAAAAGTACTGCTGTCCTCAAGGCAGGTATACAGAGCACCTGCATTATTTTCATCACACTTACGGCTTTGAGTCAGCAATAACATATTCCTAATGTACAGTACAGTATTTAAGCCCATTGTTTCAACAGCAGTTGGTGTTTGTGCAGCAAGCACAGTAACTTTTAAGTGCTAATTTTATTGCAGAGACAAACCAAAATGGTGTCTTCCATTACTCATCCTGGGCTGGGAAGGTGGGGAGTTTTCTTTCTCTGTATTACATTATTTTTCACATGATTTTCACGATTACGATAAATGCAAATGTAATTTCACGATTATAAAAAAAATTAAATAACACAAACTGAGGTTGAACATGCTGATTTAAGTATGTTTTCAGCCAGTGCTAAACAAGAGGTGACACAGGCAAGAGGGGGAGAGCTTATTACTTATGCTGACTATTACTTCACCCCTTAGAGCCACAATGATCTTAATTTTTCTTAATCACCAGTCTACTCAGCAGAGTGGAAACTGCACGCATGTGGAATATTTATCAGCCTCTGAATCCAGCCAAGTCTTCATACCCAGCAAACCCAGATACCAACATGTGAGTGAGTGACCTTAGTTCCTCTGGGTAGAAAACTCACTCTGTGGAATGCGTTCCTGAGGCTTTTTACCAAATATGGACATTTTAACTTTTCTGTGGATGAAAAGCTGTCTTGGTTACAAACTAGACAGATTAAGAACATTAAAAGATTATATTATCATAGAATTAAGGAATGGTTTGGGTTGGAAAAGACATTAAAGCCCATCCCCCTGCCATGGCAGGGACACCTTCCACTCTCCCAGGCTGATCAGAGTCCTGTCCAACCTGGCCTGGGACACTCCAGGGATCCAGGGGCAGCCACAGCTACTCTGGGCACCTGTGCCAGGGCCTGTCCACCCGAACAGCCAGGAATTTCTTCCATATATCCAACCTCAATCTCCCCTCTTGCAGACTGAACCCATTTCCCCTTGTCCTGTCACTCCGGTTCCAAACAGAAAGTCCCTTTTTGGATTCCTTGTAGGCTCCTTCAGATACTAGAAGGCTGCTCTGAGTATCTACTAAATGGTCCTAGGATATACATTTTTAGTAAAAAACCCATAAAATTTAAGGAATAAGATTTTTATGTCCCATAAAGGTGAGGGTCCCATCCGCTCACCAACCGCTCTGCAGATACAGAATTATGACAGGAATAGATAGGGTAGTCTCATACAAACATCTGTGTGAAGCAAAGAGCATGAAAAACCCTGACATTTGGATAATTTCTCAACAAACTTCCATGCTCTGAAGGTCAGTTTTAAAAATCCATGTGGCAACTGCCAGTTGGACAAAAGATTCTAACTCAAATTTTCCAAAATCACCTTCATCCCTTTTCCAACAGAAATCTCTGCTGTTACTGTGTATGATTAGCCACCGGACAGTGGAATGAGACAGAGCACAGGAGGAAATCATCACAGAATTATAGAAACATGGAATAAATATTCTGAATAGGAAGGGACCCACAAGGACCTTCACAGCCAGCAAGTGCTGGTAAAACCTCTCTGGCCACTCACTGTCCAGCTCCTGGTGCCTTGGTTTTATGTAAAAGCTCCCACAGTCACAGATTTTTGATTCAGGTCATGTATCAGTTCTGCCAGGTTTTCAGTGTGCTGTGACAGCATTTACAAGGCTTCTGTAAAATCAGAGAGGGTTATTGGGTGAAACTGGGCAGAAATACATCAAAAAATAGCAAAAGGCTGTGAAGCTGTCTTCACAAACCTAGTATTAACACCAATTTGTCTTTGTTTTATAGAACACGGTAGTTTACTAAAGAATTAAAATCAGGAGCTTCTTTACCAACTTTTTGCCAGTCAATATCCCCAAAAAAAAACAGTATCCCAGTGTCTTATTTGCTCATATAGTAAATGGTCATTCATTCCACAGCCACCTTCTCTCACCTGAAGGAACGGCTGGAGCTGGGCCAGGGCAGGCTCAGGCTGGATTTAGGGAAAGGTTCTTCCCCCAGAGGGTGCTGGCACTGCCCAGGCTCCCCAGGGAATGGGCACGGCCCCAAGGCTGCTGGAGCTCCAGCTGCATTTGGCTGCTGCTCCCAGGCAGGGTGGGATTGCTGGGGGTCTGTGCAGGGCCAGGGGCCGGACTGGATGATCCCTGTGGGTCCCTTCAAGCTCAGGATATTGCACACTTTAATGATTTTTTCTGCCACTGAGGGGTATTTTCCCTTTTTAAATCTCTCAGATTAGTACTAAAAGACGGACAACAAGGAATAGTTGAGGAAATGTGATAAATACTGTGAATTGCAAAGAGCAGAAGCACTGCTCTTCCAGCTCCTTTCCATGTCACCTTAATGAAAGTAAACAAATTCCTACCATGATTTCAGGAGGATGCAAAATAAACACCTTCATTTTACAGTATCAACAGTAAATTAAACTAATAATTAAAAAAAATCTCCTTCATCAGTGCATGGAAACACATCCCTAATTCTAAGTGTATTGGGAGCGTCACTGGAGTCGTCGAGACAAGGACGTGCAAAGCACAAGCAGGGGTTTGACTGATGTATGGGACTAGGTCCAGCTGGAACAGGATTTTTAAAGCAGACCGAGAAGGCAAAGTATGCAAGGTCGTGACAAAACAGATGTAGTCACATCCCCAATCCACTTCCAAGAGTTTTGTGCAGCCCCAAAACAAACCTCTGAACAAAACTGGAAGCCTACACATTTCTTCCCCTGCTTCCGTGTAACAACAATTATCAGTATTTTACTGACATCCTGGCTCCTGCCCAACCTGTTCAGGTCTAGATTCCGTGGCATTTCATTTCACAACCACACTGACAGAGGAATATGCATTTTCACTGGGTGAACACCTGCAGTGTGGCTCTTAGCACAGGCTCCAGAGAGCTCCCAACCTCTGAGGTTTGTAGGAATCCCCATCCTTCTCTTTAAATTACCACCTGCAACAGCTACTGCTGCAATTCCAGGGCTTTTGAGGAACTAGTGATATGCTCCAAAGAGCAGCCCTGCCCAATCGTGGAATCGTGACTCTGTCACAACTCAGAATCTCTCCCCCCTACCCCTTCCAAGTTCTCTTTTCACCACAGGGCAGAGGCAACAAAGGGCACCAAGTAGAGTAAAGCTCTCTTTTGTACACATAGATCAGATTATATTTGGTAGAAACTCTTTTTGGAAGTTTCCCTCAGAACAAGCACAAGACCTTGGCTGACCATAAAGCTGGGCACAGAGAGGGGGTCAGATTTTAGGCAAGAAACAAATTTCTCAAAAACTGCTACCAGTAAAATTACTTTTTTCCAGGCTTTTATATGGATGTGCTTTTGAAAACCACACTACTGCACCATCTCTGTGTATTCATACCACCGTCCTGACAGGTTAGATAAACAAAGCAGTATCTAAAAATATGCATGAACCAAATAATTTTGCTACGGAAGTTTGTAATTTCTCAGATGGCCTCTCAACATTCAAAATTTAAGCATTAACTTCTTCAAAATCACTGTAATGCTGCCACTGCGCAGAAACAGCAATACAAAGTGGAACTAAAACACACTCTGATAGAAATTTCTCAAAAACTAGAGAGTATTTGTAAACCAGAGAGACATTTTTCAGCAAAGAAAGATTTCTCTCTCAACACAAAAATCCAATCCATCCCCGGGTTTGACTGAAGCAGATGCTGTAATAAACAAGGGAATGACTTTGATACAGAAACTGTTCAAAGCTTTTTCTTACAGATTTTTGCACCAACGGACCTTAAAAGCCCCAGTGAACTTTATATAAGTCCTTACCAGTTAACTTCTTCACAGGTTGGAGCCGAACACTGATAGACTGATGTGTGAGTAAGGGGGAGGATGGAAGGGAGCGGGACATGCCCTCCATTATCCGAATGTGCTGCATACCTTCGGTCACTGGGAGTGGCGGAATAGCGTAGTCAGGTTCAAAAGCACAGTCGTTCTCTGTGGAGGTGCCTGATGGAAAGAGGAAAATAAAAATTAATTAGTTAGAATACAAGGGAAGGAATCCTGCTTCCATCATTCCAAAAGGGCTGGCTGAAGGGAGCTCTGCACAGAGCTGACTTGCCAACTGCTTGTTCCCTTTGCACACTCATGACACATCCCTTGAAGAAATTTGAAAGAGCATCCAACTCTCCTGAGAGATGCACAAAGTCCGTGTGGGGGTCACATCCCCCATCCATTTCCACGATGGAATACATGGAATAGCTTGAGAACAAGTGAAGACAGAACAGTAGAAGGACTCGTTGCTAATTGTAATCAGTATTAATAAACAGTGAAGGGAAGGTGCTTCAGATCAGCAAGAGTCGGGAGCCGTAAGGTTCTTCCTATTAACTGCAGATAATGGAAACTTTGGGGTCAAGGACACCTAGATCTCCACTCTTGTCAGTAAGATGAACAACCTAACCCAGACAACTAATAATTCACATGCAAAACCAACCCAACCTGTTATCATTAACTTTTCATTAATATTTCAATAATGTGAGAAGGCAGGACTTGTGTCACACTGTTACAAGATGGATTTTAGCTCTTATTGCGTGCTGATGTTTTCCCTCCAAAAAGACATTCCTCACTGGATTTCCAATGGATAGCTGTGCTGTTCTCAGCAGCCTGTGAGAGTGTGTTTAAAAGAGAAAATGTTTGCTGGACAGAAAGGGAGATGGACAAGAGTAGGCATAAGACAGAAGGGTACGAGCCTCAAATGCATGGTACTTCAGAGGAAACAATGGACGAGGAGCTGTATTCCCAATACCGAAAGTACAATGTGAACAACCCAACATATTGCTGAAGATTGGCAGAAAAAACATGTTGAAATAACTGTCAAAATCTTGGACCAGATCCTGAAGGGTTCTAGGAGGCTGCAGCACCGGTGGCGAAAATTCATCCATTCCTGGTGCCAGCATTCAGGAATGTCTCTCAGCAGTTTTGTGTTGCTCTTTACAAGAAAGCCAAATAAGCACTGACACCCTTCACACCTACACTGGTTTTGACAGTTCAAAACACCACTCAATCTCTCCTTGCTCATCACTCACCAGCTACCGTGAGCTCTCTGCAGACTCTGCCAGCCTGGACAGGGCACAGGGACACAGAGAGTGTCAGGGGAGACAAACCACCACCGCTGCCAAAACTAGCATTACAAAAGCCAACTCATGATGGGTTTTTAAAATACATTTGGCACCATGAATGAAAAAAACACCGACAGGTTTTATTCTTAAAAATAATTTCAATTGCCTCAGGCTAACTTTTAGGGAACTATAAGTCATGGGCATCTCCTGCAGCTTAAAGTCTGTGAAAGACAAGTCTACGTGCATTTCACTGGTTATTTTGGTGTAAGTTCCCAATGTCTTTGATCAATCTACTTAAAATCAAGGGCAGTATCTTGTATAGAAATAAAAGTAATTATAGGTTGGCAAAGTTTTTCCTCTTAAAATTCAAGTGCTTTACAATAAAACAGTGAACTCACAAAACATCCATAAGGTACTACCTTCATTTCACACATATCAAAATTTCTCTCTCCTCCTTGGCAGAGTAAATAAACACACAAACAAAACCCCTGAAACGGTCTGAAATTTGTTTTGATGAGAAAGAATATTTGGCTTATCAAATACTGGAATTAGGGCTCATTGATAGCTGAACTGGAACTTTAACAGTTTGCTTATATAATATATTTAAATGAAATGTTACTGTAAAGTGCATATTTGACCTAATAAACTATTTCTTGGAGTTTTACATGATTATCACAGAATCATTCAGGTAGGAAAAGACCTTTAAGATCATTAAGTCCAACCGTCAACCCAGCATAACCACTATGTTCACCACTAAACCATGTCCTGAAGTGTCACATCCACATGTTTTTGGAACACTTCCTAGGATGGTGACTCCACCACAGCCCTGGCCAGTCTGTTCCATGGCTTGACAATTCTTTCAATGAAAAACATTTTCCTTAACCAACCTAACCAAAACCTCCAACCTAAACCTCCCCTGGCACAACTTACAGCTGTTTCCACTTGTCCTGTTGATGAAGCTTTGAAGATACTCGGGAATCACACATGGTAATGAGGAAGGTCAGACAGCAGGAAGGCAACTGCCCCATTTCAGCTGGATGCTTTAACAAAGGTTAATAAATTTCCTTAACCCACCATCATGAAAAAACCCATTATCATGTGCAGTCAGATTTCAAGATGGACACAGAGCTGGGAAAAGTCAGAGATAATGCTTCTACTGAGCACAGAGACTTCTCCTTCCATGCTGCAGAAAGCCTGCCTCTAGAATTGCATTGAATGATTCAAATGGAAATATTTAGCTCAGAACTTTGTTGCTCCAAGAACTTGGAAGCTTTTTTAACTGTTCCCTTTTTATTCCCTCTCACACTGCAACTTCTTGCTGGTTACTTCAGTTCCTTCAGTCGCAGTCATCAAAGTGAAGAGGTACAGATTGGTGATTCTTGGGCAAGGATTTGCAAAAAAAAATCCCAAAACACATGTCTTTCCTATAGCAGCAGAGATCCAGATTAGATGGGTTTAAAAGGAACTTGAGAGAATAGAATGCGTTCAGGTAGCTCCCAGCAGCAGCTGCATCTGAGCTGCTCTGCCCCATGACAAGAAGCCATTAGACACAAGCCAAACACATGCCAGGTTCCCACAGAAGAGCAAAGCTCAGCCTCTAGCACACAGTTACACAGCAACAACAACTTTTGCGCTCAGAGTGGGAAAAAACGGTCACTCTCTCTGAACATCAAAGCACTGCACCTTGTGTGCAACCTGCCATGGGATACTGTACAGTGATAAATTACATGGTTCCTTCCTAATTTTACTTTAACTCTACTTTAAAACAATAAATTTAAATACAATAATTGAAAGATCCTATGTGAAGAGAGCAATTGACACTTCACAGCTTCAGGGTTTTAACTACCAATTCTGATCCCCCCAATTTTGATCAGTTCAATCACTCAAAATCATCTCACCCAGGCAACACTGGAATACTGCCAAAAAAGGACAATACTCTGGAGAAAACATCCCCACAATAAGTCATTAGGACACCATGACAACAACAGGCCTGAGCCTAAATGAAAGAAAAATGATTGCTGCAATCCCAAAGAGAGAGTAAGCTAATGCATATAGAACCTACTAGAGCCCTACTTCCAAAAAATTCGATTCAGTCTCAAAGCTGTGTGAGAATACAGCATTTTCACAACCCTCACAAATAAGAAAATGCTTAAAACTAAGTAAAGCTGCTTCAAAGGACACATAAGCCAGCACAAATCTAAGACCTGCTGCTGTCAGGGACAGAAATGCCCATTATAGGGCTCTGTGTGGTTTTAACCAGCCACTAAACCTACTCTGAAGAGACAGATACTCAACAAAAGAGTCTGTTGGATTGTTATTTAAAGAATATAAACCCTGGTTTTTGTACTTCCTTCCTTGGACCTTTTGTGATTTTCCTGTGAGATGAAACAAACCAAAGTAGACATAATGTGGGGCTGTTCAGCCCCCAGACAGGTACACACAGGTTCTGCTCCATTGCATCCCAGGGCTTGGGGAAGGATAACCTGGTTATGGTGAACCTGACAAGTTCCCCCTTTGACATCAGGGGGAAGGCATGTAGAAACCTGGAAACTGAATGCTGGTTTGGGCTGGTATGTGCTGAAGAATTCCAGCATCACCAGCTCCAACAGCAGAACCCTCTGTGCCTCTGGCTGCATTACGGAGACATCATGCTGCACATGTGCTGCACCAGGTATTAGATTAAACTCCTTCAGCCACTCAAAATCCACTCAAAAAGATTTGTGAATCTCAGTTTGGGTAATAATGATGGGGACAAAGTCTGTCAGGTCACACAGTCTGGCAAGAAACACAACACGTGGGAGGTATCAAAAGTGAATAAATGAGACAAGTGTCCGAGGCAGAACAACACTCAGGTTTTACCTTGCCCAGCTCGGCTCTGACGGGAGTCTACACTTGCCTGTCTTCGGTCTGGTGGCTCCTCGTTCCCTCCATCTGCATGAGAACCAAAACAGCACAAGTAGAACATCATAGTGGACAGGTCAGGCAGATGCAACTTTTCCTTGAGTCCCATCACCTATCTCGGAAGGAACAGCAGGACAAAAGGTCCCTCTGGCAGACTGATACTGGAGAAATTGCTGCTTGACTCTGCTGCTCCTTCCACATTTGCCCCAGCTCACTGCAATGAAATCCATGAGGTCCTCGGGATAGAAGGAAGGTTATACTTGCTCCTATTGATCCCACAGAGAGCTGAATGAGATAAAAACCAAATTGTGCATCTTCAAAGAGTTCCTTCACTTTGGACTGTTACGCCAAAGCATAAAAATACTAAGCATTGGAATAAAGAGATCCAGGAAAAAAAAAAAAAAAGTATTTGAAATATGGAATTTTAAATGGTGTCCCTTTAAAATTATTTGTCTGCTGAAAACCAGCAAGGCTGGGAAGAACACAACTCCTTATTACATCCTCTTGAAACTGTTTAGGAAAGCAGCTACAGTTAACAAATCCCAAATCCATCTGGGTAAAATGCAGAGTGGGACATTGTGTACAATATTATACAATTAATTACAGGCTGCTCTTCATTGATCAACTGACCAGATTAGAAAGAATAGATACACCCATCAATATAGACGCTTGAGCACATGTAGTCTCTGGCAGCTGAGAGCAAAAAGAAGCTCAGCTCTGCAGACTGGGAAAAAACAAACCCAGGGATTTCAAATGCAGGCTGTGTTTTAGCAGTTCTTACCCCCTATGGCAGGGGAAGGCAAAGCTTTTAAAATCATTAAGAATAGTTTTGAAATAACTGAATTCTTAAATAGCTGTTCAAAAACTCAATAGTCAATTTAGCATTGATGTGTTCTGATGATACTAAAAGCAACTGCATTTTGATATATTTGTATCACTGTGTAGCTCTATAAAGGTTATTGGCTGGAGGGGCCTGTTATGCCGTAATTTAACTTTATCAACTCCTGCTACATGTGAGCTGTGTCTGGCTTCTGGATGGGAAGTTGTGAATTGCAGCAGAGGAGCAGAACAAAAATGGGAACTAAAAATTTCAGTCTACCCCCAACCTTAGAAAGAGAGGAACCACAGCCCAGGCCAGGAAGGGTCTTCTGTTCCCTCTTCCCTTGCTGAAATGCTCCCAGCTTTCAGTTTTCCTGAAGTAATGCTCAGGCACCTTGAACAGAAGCCAGCCAGGCCATTTCTGTCACCTTTGCATCCTTCACTGCTGACACAGCAGTTGCATGTGAAGGTCATCTGGCTACAGCAGCCCAGAATCCTGATTTTAAATGAGCTGCACCCTTCCTGATAAGCCAGTTGCCAAGGACACCACAGACCACAACACTTGCCCAGTTCCCTTTTGCATTCTGGTTGCCAGAAGGATGTCACACTGCAAATACAACTACAACTGGGATATGTCAATAGGAGCTTTTATTAGCCCGGAGACGCCTGCTTGGAACTAGCTGTGCTGAACCTTCCTACAGTCAACAGCATTAAAGAGCCCTGGCTGCATTTTTGCTAGTAACACCCAGTGTTGGTTTGGCCATGACTGTGCACAAGGATATCATTATCATCATCATCCCTAATGGCCCCTGGCTATGAGCCCCCACAGACAACCTCTAAGTCATAGATAAAACAAAAACCCTTTTGAGCTGTGAACATAAATCCAAATGCATGATAATTATAAAGACTAAACATTTCAAAAGACAAAAAGGTCCCAGTATTAAAATCAGGAATAAATCCCTGTATTTATCCCAAGACACGTGATCATCAGCAAAAGACAATCTCCCTCCCTGAAAGTTTCATCACCCTTGCAACTGTTTGACACCAAGCTACATGGGGGTCGGTGGGTGGAACTGGATGAACTTTAAGGTTCCTTCCAACCCAACCCATCCGGAGATCTCTCATTCTATCAATCAATCTCCTTGATCATGTGGAAAGACAACACCTCTGCTGTAGTTACCTAGGTGTATCAAACCCCGCCTTGAGAACAAGCCACGGCCAAGGGAGGGCCTGGGGGCAGCAGATGAGGGGTCCTGCTCCCCAGAATGTTCCAACACTCAAGGGTGGGACACAAAATGGTGACAAGAGGCCGCCAAAGCCCCTGGGCTGGAGAAGGGGAAGAGGAGTTGAGAGTCTGGGATGGATCATCCTGCAAGTTATGCACCATATTAAGGGGGAAAGAAAGCTCACGGTAAATTAATTTCCAAAATGCAATTAGGGTGAGAAAGGAAAAAATAAACCAGATGACTCAGCAGATATCAAATCTTCAGTCAGCACACAACCACTGCTGCACTTGATATGGCTGCAGCAAAGGTGGAGCTTGGGGGAAACCAAGGATGGAAAGGAACAGCCACAGTTAAGAGCTGAATAACTGAACTAGTTCATTCTTTGTCTCTTCACTACAAATCAAAATGTTGAGCACAATCTGCTCCTGGCAGTGGAGGGGCAAGGTTAGCAGGGAACAATACCACACATAATTATGAAGTTATCTCACTGCACACTCAAAAAAGAGGAGATTGCTGTTTCTAAGGGAATATTAATTCTCACATTTTTTGAGCTTCCAAGTGCTTGTATCTACATCCACCTCTGTGTGCGCATCAGGACTCTGTCTTCACAACAACATTCCTAGTTATTTTATTTATGCATGATTTTAGGTAGCTGTTAGTATTTGCTTTAGCATTAGCCATTGTTTATAGACACGACCTACTATTCAGACAACATCTGCGGACAGTATCACTTCTGAAGTTCAATCAACCCAGTTGCTGTAACGATTGCCCGTGTGGTGAAACACCAAAGTTATTGACAAATCCTTCAATGCAACAGCTAAAAGAGGTCACCAGAAATAAATCAGTTGTGAAATCATTGCTAGAGAACACAGCTATCTGTGTTAATTTAAAATAAAGATCAGCACAGACTGAGATGAACCCATTTAAGGAGCTTTACAGAAGTTCTCATGCAAAAGAGAAAACAGTCAAATGCCACAAGGGAAGTGAATAATACAGTAAATATTGACTCAGTAATTCATATTCTCTTGCATCTCTCACTATGAAAGGGAGAAAAATTTTTGTGATCTTTTAAAAAAATCTCAGTGTTAAGAAAATCCCTACATTAACTCTTACATCTTTCCATTAACTCTTACACGTTATTTTAGTTTTTGAAAGCTGCTGTCTTATCAGTGTCCAGCATCTGTCCATCTGGGATGCTGGACACAGGTCAGAAACCCGACAAGGGTTCTGAGTGCCTGATCCTGTGGCAAGAACAAAGTAAACAGTCATGGCTATTAACTCTTTCTCTCAAAAACATAAAAGGGATTAAGGGATCTCAAAGATCGTGATTAGTCACAGGATCAGCAGAGCAGCCTCTCCTGCTGTAGCCAGGTCTGAGAAGCACTGCTGCTTCCTCTCCTCTCCCCATCCCCATTCCACCAGTCCTCCATTTAAAGCAATGACATAACAAATCCTCCCCAACACACACAACGTGATTCCTTGAACTGACTGTTCTGACAGGGAAAGAAAATCTCAAGGCTTCAGCATTCCTAAACAAATGCCCTGCACAAAGCACCACAATTAGTATGAGGGGGCTCCAAACAGGAGCCAGATACATCTGCACCAGCACATCTCATGTCAGTAAATCCCACAGCACCTCTGGCATCACCTCTGTCAGCACCTCCTGCCAGGTCTTCTCATTAAAGGCAAACATAACAAGCTTCATACAAAATCAAATGCCAGCAGCCCAACATTTCCGGCTTCCTATTTAATTAAAAGGCTCTTAAAATTCACACCATGACTAAACATCTCTCAAGATCTCTGATCTGACAAAGCAATTTTTAAGGCAAAAGAATCCAAGGGTGGGTGAGGCTGCTTCCACGCATGCTGGGGAATCTGCGGCAGGAACCGACTGCATTGGATGTGCTGCTGCTCTAACAGCAACTGGCAGTTGCACACTCCACTGTAAGAGCTATAAATCAATAGTTTAAATCCATCAAAATCGTATCAAAATGGTATCTGGAAAAGGAGGAAGACTCACACAAAGCCAGTCAAGCTGTTAGGGACAGATCCGATTCCAGCCCAGCCCAGCATCCCTGCGGAAGCATCCCTGTGTGCACGGCACAGCGTCTGGAGTTGAGGCTCCTAACTGCCATTGTGCTCCCAAAATAGGGAAAAAAAATCCTCAAAATAAATAAATCAAACAGCTCCAGGGGCTAGAGCCCACCACGAGGATCCTGGAGCTGCCAGCACTGCTGCCGCAGGTGCCGGTACTGAGTCCAACCCTGGAACCCGCCGCAGCGATGCCAGCATAGGAGAGGGAGTTGCAAATCTTGTTCTCAGCATTCCTGATAAATTCCAGCCTGGTAAAAAATGACACGTGCCACATGATCTTCCCACTGCTCTCTCCGGATGAGCTGTGCCTGGAAAGGGGAAAAGTGTTCCCCAGCCAGAGTAGGAGAGAAGAGGGAGCCCAGTCTCGTACTGAAAACAATTATTTTAATCAAAAGTCCTTCCTGATTATTTAGTTTGTATTTTTCTGCCTCAGAAAACAATATGCACCACCATCACAAATTCTTATTATGCTATAATTAATTCTATTATAAAATTATTATTATTATTGTCGCTGTTGTTTCTATAAAACTAGTATTGTGGTAAAAGTCGGTGTTATGGTTAGAAATAGCATTATTGCAGTGTTATGATTAAAATCAATATGATACGAATTATTATGATAATTAAAAATTTTAGAGAACTGCATTAAATTACTAACAGAATAAAACATCTACCCCCATGGAAACAACTCCCTGGTGGGAGTATCAGGGTGCAGGGGAGGGATGCAGGAATGTTTGTGGGTGTTGAGGGTGGAATATTTTTACTGATGGAACTATAGTACAGACCTGGGTTATTAAACACCGTATCATGAAAATCCAGCTCCCCAATCACTTTCCAACATGTTGAATCCCTTAGCACAGAATCATTAAGGTTGGGAAAGACCTCCAAGATCAG